CTGCAGGTTCACCGCGGTAATATTAGCAAAATAATTCTACGTGTACTTAGAAGAGGATGAACCACCACTTTGCAGGTGGTCCGCCCCGGGGAGGGATGACAAGCCTACCTCATATTCAGATTCACTCCAGCAGAATGCAAAAATGGTGATCCCAAGCTAAAAAAAAAAAAATCTTGCATATCATTATACGAGTGGTCAAGCCACCCAGGGAAGAACACTGCAAGAAACCAGTCTTGAAAAGGACCTTGAAGGGGTCAAGGTCTGTTGCTCAGGCAGCATTTGAAGAGTCAAACCAGCACTGCCGCTAACCACACGCTGAGGTAAACTGCCTGTTAAGTGACAGAAATCTGTGGCACGACACCGTGCTGATCGATAAACAATTATTAAGAACGGAGTGTAAAATAAACGAAGAAGTTGCAGTGTCATCACCATGAACCCGCAATTAGTTTCAGCATATATAATGATTACTATTCTACCTAGGTGTATTCCTCACACTTCAAATTCAAGTACACAGTGTTTGCAGGTTTAATGTGTTAACATAATGGCAGCCACAGTAGGCCATATTATTTTTGTGGTTTCTTTATTGCTATTCTTCAACCTTCAAAACATCCCCACTTCCCTTTTCTCTCCTCCCCGAACTAAGTTACGGTGCACCTAGAGAATATTTTACTGTCAAACCACATGGCTGTTGAGTCATAAGGATATCAAGTTCCCCTGTGGCAAGCACTAAGCCCAAGAATTTCCTATACCAGGTGTGGCAAGAGAACACAAGTGCATCTCTTGCTTGCACCATCATATTTATGAATAAGTTTTTTTTTATATTATATCCATGGGAAGTACTTAAACTCACATGGATCGTCTAGCTCCTTGGAATTAGGAGGTAATCAGGTTTGATCCAAAGGGGAGGTAGCTCAAATTCCGTCGATCGATAGTATTTCATCGACATCAATGACCCCTCCCCCCTTGAAGAGTTACTCTTGATGAAGTTAATGAGCCGACACATATTACAGATTTACTACTCATACAGGCATAAGCCCTGGGGGGTTAGTATTTAAAAAAACTATAAATCTCCACCTTCTGTGTTAAGTTTGACCACACATGGTGAACACACACACACACACACACCTAGTAGCGATCAGTGAAGAGGCGGGGCCAGGAGCTCGGACTCGACCCCCGCAACCTCAACTAGGTGAGTACAACTAGGTGAGTACACAGTAGTCAGCAAGTGGAATAGTTTGGGAAGCGATGTAGTGGAGGCAGGATCCATACATAGCTTTAAGCAGAGGTATCTACCTGGAGGGCATTCCGGGGATCAACGTCCCCGCGGCCCGGTCCACGACCAGGCCTCTCGGTGGATCAGGGCCTGATCAACGAGGCTGTTACTGCTGGCCGCACGTAATCCAACGTACGAACCACAGCCCGGCTGATCCGGCACCGTCTTTAGGTATCTGTCCAGCTCCCTCTTGAAGACAACCAGGGGTCTTCCCGTAATGCCCCTTATTGTTGGTGGGAGGCTGTTGAACAGTCTTGGGCCCCGGACACTTATTGTGTTTTTTCTTAAATCTTAAATCTTCATCAGAGTACAAAACAAATTCTGGCCACAAAATAGAGCGAAACACCAACGTCAAAGACCTGGGAGTGATCATGTCGGAGGATCTCACCTTCAAGGACCATAACATTGTATCAATCGCATCTGCTAAAAAAATGACAGGATGGATAATGAGAACCTTCAAAACGAGGGATGCCAAACCCATGATGACGCTCTTCAGGTCACTTGTTCTATCTAGGCTGGAATATTGCTGCACACTAACAGCACCTTTCAAGGCAGGTGAAATTGCTGACCTAGAAAATGTACAGAGAACCACGGCGCGCATAACGGAGATAAAACACCTCAATTACTGGGAGCGCTTGAGGTTCCTGAACCTGTATTCCCTGGAACGCAGGCGGGAGAGATACATGATTATATACACCTGGAAAATCCTAGAGGGACTAGTACCGAACTTGCACACGAAAATCACTCACTACGAAAGCAAAAGACTTGGCAGACGATGCAACATCCCCCCAATGAAAAGCAGGGATGTCACTAGCACGTTAAGAGACCATACAATAAGTGTCAGGGGCCCGAGACTGTTCAACTGCCTCCCAGCATACATAAGGGGAATTACCAACAGACCCCTGGCAGTCTTCAAGCTGGCACTGGACAAGCACCTAAAGTCGGTTCCTGATCAGCCGGGCTGTGGCTCGTACGTTGGTTTGCGTGCAGCCAGCAGTAACAGCCTGGTTGATCAGGCTCTGATCCACCAGGAGGCCTGGTCACAGACCGGGCCGCGGGGGCGTTGACCCCCGGAACTCCCTCCAGGTAAACTCCAGTGACGCCCCTACTTTTCACTGGGGGTATGTTGCATCGCCTGCCAAGTCTTCTGCTTTCGTATGGAGTGATTGCTGTGTGCATATTAGGGACCAGTCCCTCCAGAATCTTCCAGGTGTAGATTATGATATCTCTCTCTCGCCTGCGCTCCAGTGAGTACAAGTCAAGTGCTTCCAGGCGCTCCCAGTAGTTAAGGTGTTTGATGGAACTTATACGTGCAGTAAAGGTTCTCTGTACATTCTCCAGCTCGGCATTTTCACCTGCCTTGAATGGGGATGTTAATGTACAGCAGTATTCCAGCCTAGAAAGAATAAGTGATTTAAAAAGGATCATCATTGGCTTAGCATCTCTTGTCTTGATCCTCTCTACTGTGTGATTGGAGTTATTATTTCCTCCAGTTTTCCATAACGGAGTAGTTGGAATTTGTCTTCATTGAACATCATATTGTTCTAGGCTAGATTAAATTGCGCTTGTTATAATAAGGTTCGGTAAGTTTCCTAAGGTACTTTGGGTACAAAAATCATTATTTTTTTTATATCAACATAATTAAAAAATATATCTTTAAATGTATGAGAAAATTTTAGAAAACTTAAACTTTAAACGAGTTCTTGCTAACTGACCAGTTTTACTTATTCGAAACATATATATAACATTGTCCCTTAAGTGCAGAGTATTACTCAATTTCAATATTATTTAAGTTATCTAAGCCCAAGCTGTTGCTGAGAGATTATCTTACAGGTAGTACCGGCTATAGTAGCTTCGTGTTGTTCGGTAATATTTTCTATGAAGGTAACATTTTATTTTTAACGAGAACAAGTATTTACATTCAAAGTACTTTTTAAAAATATAAAAAAATATGCAACATGCACGCACGCACGTACATACTGGCACACCAATACAGAGTGTAACTCCTCTTCCTCCCAACCTCACATTACTAAATGTCAGTGGCATGAACAAACATAATTTTTTTTTAAGTTGTTTCGATACAAGAGAAAGTGACCAAATTTTAAATTAATTCCCCAAATGCACAAATTTCTCTATTCTTTCAGAGTGGTTGTTTTGCATATATATATATATATATATATATATTATATATATATATATATATATATATATATAATATATATATATTTTTTTTTTTTTATTATCACACCGGCCGATTCCCACCAAGGCGGGGTGGCCCGAAAAAAAAAAAACTTTCACCATCATTCACCCCATCACTGTCTTTGCAAAAGGGGTGTTTTAAACACTACAGTTTTTAAACTGCAACATTAACACCCCTCCTTCAGAGTGCAGGCATTTGTACTTCCCCATCTCCAGGACTAAAGTCCGGCCTGCCGGTTTCCCTGAATCCCTTCATAAATGTTACTTTGCTCACACCCAACAGCACGTCAAGTATTAAAAACCATTTGTCTCCATTCACTCCCATCAAACACGCTCACGCATGCCTGCTGGAAGTCCAAGCCCCTCGTACACAAAAACCCCCTTTACCCCCTCCCCCCAAACCCTTCCTAGGCCGACCCCTACCCCGCCTTCCCTTTCCCCTACAGACTGATACACTCTTGAAGTCATTCTGTTTCGCTCCATTCTCTCTACAGTCCGAACCACCTCAACAAACCCTTCCTCAGCCCCCTGGACAACAGTTTTTGGGAATCCCCCACCTCCTCCTAACTTCCAAACTATGAATTCTCTGCATTATATTCAAAACACACATTGCCCTCAGACATGACACTCCACGCCCCTCCAGCCTTCTCCTCGCTGCCCCCTTCATCACCCACCTTCACACCATATAAGGCGTTTTTAAAACTTACTCTCATACATTCCCCCTCTTGCCTCCAAGGACAAGTCTTGTGCCGAATATGTAAAACTGGTCAATTAGCAAGAGCTCATTTAAAATTAAGTCGTTTCTAAAATTTTCTCTTATACGCTTAAAGATATATTTTTTTCATTGATGCTAATGTAAAAAAAATTAATTTTGCTCCAAAAGAATCTTAGAAAACTTACCTAACCTTATTATAAAAAGAACAATTTATTTCAGCCTAACCGAGCTAAATATATTTTAGATTTGTTTACAATAATTTAATACTAAACAAACACAGTGAAATATATTTTTTTCGTTAGGTTCAGAATGATTTTGGCGAAATTATTGCATACACAAATTTTCACTTGTCCTATATGGCAAGATTAGCGTTGCTATTAAGCCAAGATCGCAAGTTCTGCCTATTCGGCACATTAATATATATATATATATATATATATATATATTATATATATATATATATAATATATAATAATTTATATATATATATATATATATAATATATATATATATATATATATATATATATATATATATATATATATATATATATATATATAACATTTGTGTTATCAATTGGTTACAGGTTTTCTCTTTAAAGATGCCATTTTTAATGGGTATGAGATCACTACGCCTAATGTGCATTTAGACTAGTCGGATCTGAAGACGCCCTGAAAGCTGTTGAAGACGAGACTGGTTACAAGAATGTGCTCAGGCATTTCATTTGCAATGAATTTTGAAGATTCGTACATACTTTGTAGTCAATTGTTCATGTGATTTAACAGTATATCTAACACCCTTATTCTTCTACAGGTACCAGACGTACAACGGACAATACAGGAAGGAGAAACGTCTTGATGACGGTACAGTCATTGGGACATACGGCTGGGTGGACGCAAATGGGCTCCTGCGTCTCTACGATTATATAGCCGACACAAAGGGCTACCGTGTCGTTCGCCAGAAAACCATGAGAGTGCCTAAGATTACCGAACCACCCCCAGTAACCTTAGTAACAGCAGCCCCAAGTATCTTGCGTCCAACAGAACCGAGTATATCACAGTTGATTGATGCGACGAAGCGACCTGTGATACCAGCACCTACAGAAATCCATTCAAAACGCATCCCTTCACCTGGTGTTCCGGGCTCGGAGCCTACTAGTAGAGGTCCAACTGCAAGTGCTCCACTCTTAGAATCCACTAAGAAAGATCCCAGTGCCGATGTTCCAGGCTCGGAACCTACTTGGAGAGATCCTACTGTCAATGTTCCAAGCTATGAGTCCACTAGGATAGATCCTTCTTCTATTGGTTCTCAAGGGACTCGCATCCTCCCTGGCAGACAACCTTACGTGACATCCAATACAAGAACACGGACAAGGGGCAGTACAAAGTGGGGAGGGCGGCAATCAGCCTCGCACGCTCCTAGTCCACAACTGCGACCATTCCAGCGTACAAAACCAAAACAAGGTACATTGTAATTATTATATTTATGAGGAAGCGTTAAACCTGCGGGGATCGTACAATACTTGGTTGACGGTAGGTAATAAGGTTTGAGTCCAAAAGGGTAGTTCGAATTCCATGGATCAAGCGCCCTTTCCAGCGTCAAGACCCACCTCACTTGATGGGAAAACAGGGTATAACATGTATTTACTTGTCAATGTATCATCTTAAAGGTGCCTTGATGCAGTTTGGAGCTCTTCATCCAAGAAACTGAATATATACTTCCCTTCCTTGGATCGAACCTGAATGCTTGCCTTTCTCCAGACGCGGTATGACTCCTATGGGTTTAGTGCTTCCTTTCTTAAAATAGATTAAAAAATGTCAATGTAATGCAGTAGGCATATGGCCCATGTTAGGCAGGTCTAACTCAACCCATTCAAATACCCATCCAACCTATATTTAAAGCTGCCTAAAGTTTTCGCCACCAGTGACATTAATATTATAATCAAGGGTGAGCACTAAACCCGTAGGATTATGCAGCGCCAATGCATACGAGTTGGTTCCACTCATTACAACTATTGCTAAACCAGTAATTTTCAAGCATTATCCTCTCTAAATCAAAATTTGTCCAACCTGAATTCATTGAGAGGCCTGTCCTGGTTAGATACATTCAGGACGTTATTTATACCCCCTACTTATTTTTGTTTTCCATCTGTACACTTTAATCATAACCCCTTGACTAAGTTTTTACAGGAGCCCGAATTCACTGCCTTCTGCATGTGATCATATGAGCGGTTTCTGATGCATAGGAATAATTTCATAATCTTTCCTGTATATTTTCCTGGGCATTTATGTCTATTCCGAAATATGGAGAACAGAAATGAGGCCTTGCCAAGCATATTATTTAAAGTGGAAGTGCAACCCAAGGACTTCGATTATTTATACTTTTTGATATGAAGTCAAGAATCCTATTAATTTTATTACCAACAGTTGGCTTTAAATCTTTGCTACCAAGATCTCCTAAATCTCCTCGTTCGGTTTGACTAAGCTCTACATTATTTAATTTGCAAGTACCAGTTTTCTTCTTGTCACAGGATAAGAATCTTACACGTGTCCGCATTGAATCTCATGTTACTTCTCCGACCACACTAACCTATCTTAGTCATCCTGAGGCTTGATAAGTCCTCAAACTAACCCAGCCACCATAAGGAAAGCAGTATAATACTGAAGTGGATATTCAACTTGCTACTGTGCTAATAATAAAAATAAATAAATAAATATATATATATATATATATATATATATATATCCTAGGTAGTAGGTTGGTAGTCAGCAACCGCCCAGGGAGGTACTACCGTCCTGCCAAGTGAGTGTAAAACGAAAGCCTGTAATTGTTTTACATGATGGTAGGATTGCTGGTGTCCTTTTTTCTGTCTCATGAACATGCAAGATTTCAGGTACGTCTTGCTACTTCTACTTACACTTAGGTCACACTACACATACATGTACAAGCACATATATACACACCCTCTGGGTTTTCTTCTATTTCTTTCTAGTTATATTCTTGTTTATTTCCTCTTATCCATGGAAGTGGAACAGAATTCTTCCTCCGTAAGCCATGCGTGTTGTAAGAGGCGACTAAATCCGGAGCAAGGGGCTAGTAACCTCTACTCCTGTATATATTACTAAAGTAAAAGGAGAAACTTCGTTTTTCTTTTGGGCCACCCCGCCTTGGTGGGATACAGCCGTGTGTTTGAAAGAAAGATATATATATATATATATATATATATATATATATATATAATATATATATTTATATATAAAAATATATATGATATATATATATATATATATATATATATATATTATATATATAAATATATATATATATATATGCGTGCCGAATAGTAACGGTCATTGCAAGAATCATTAAAATTAATCCATTTCTGAAATTTTTCTATATACGTTTAAAGATAATTTTTGTCATTAATGTTAATAAAAAAAATTAATTTTGCATCAAAAGAATCTTAGAAAACTTACCTAACCTTATTGTAACAAGAACAATTTATTTTAGCCTAACCCAACTAAATATATTTTAAATACGTTTACAATAATTTAGTACTAAACAAACACAATCAAATATATTTTTTCTCGTTAGGTTCAGAATGATTTTGGCGAAATTATTGCATACACAAATTTTCACTTGTCCTTTACTGCACGTATAAGTTCTGTCAAGCACCTTAACTACTGGGAACGCTTGGAAGCACTTGACTTGTACTCGTTGGAACGCAGGAGGGAGAGATATATCATAATCTACACTTGGAAAATCTTGGAAGGAATGGTCCCAAATCTGCACACAGAAATCACTCCCTACGAAAGTAAAAGACTGGGCAGGTGATACAAAATGCCCCCAATAAAAAGTAGGGGCGCCATTGGTACACTAAGAGAAAACACCATAAGTGTCCGGGGCCCAAAACTGTTCAACAGCCTCCCATCAAGCATTAGGGGAATTGCCAATAAACCCCTGGCTGCCTTCAAGAGAGAGCTGGACAGATACCTAAAGTCAGTGCCGGATCAGCCGGGCTGTGGCTCGTACGTTGGACTGCGTGCGGCCAGCAGTAACAGCCTAGTTGATCAGGCCCTGATCCATCGGGAGGCCTGGTCATGGACCGGGCCGCGGGGGCGTTGATCCCCGGAATAACCTCCAGGTAACCAGGTATGGCAAGATGAGCGTTGCAATTTAAGCCAAGATAGCAAATTCTGCCTATTCGGCACGACATATATATATATATATATATATATATATATATATATATATATATATATATATATATATATATATATATATATATATATATATGTCGGTCGTCTCCCACCGAGGCAGGGTGACCTAAAAAGAAAGAAAATCCCCAAAAAGAAAATACTTTCATCATCATTCAACACTTTCACCTCACTCACTTTCCCCTCAAGGAAGGTTCCTTGATGTTGGTGAGGGGCTCTTGATTTAGGGAATTGGATCTGTGCTCCAGTTCCCCAAATTAAGCCTGAATGCCTTCCACATCCCCCCCCAGGCGCTGTATAATCCTCCGGGTTTAGCGCTTCCGCCTTGATTATAATAATAATAATCACCTCACTCACACATAATCACTGTTTTTACAGAGGTGCTCAGAACACAACTGTTGAGAAGTATATACCTATAAAGATACACAACATATCCTTCCAAACTGCTAATATCCCAAACCCTCCTTTAGAGTGCAGGCATTGTACTTCCCATTTCCAGGACTCAAGTCCGACTATATGAAAATAACCGGTTTCCCTGAATACCTTCACTAAATATTACCCTGCTTACACTCCAACAGCTCGTCAGGTCCCAAGTATCATTCGTCACCATTCACTCCTATCTAACACGCTCACGCACGTTTGCTGTGTGTTTATACAATAAAATATAATATATATATACATTATTATTATTATAATCAAGGGGAAGCGCTAAACCCGGAGGATTATACAGCGCCTGGGGGGGGGGATGTGGAAGGCATTCAGGCTTAATTCGGGGAACTGGAGCACAGATCCAATTCCCTAAATCAAGAGCCCCTCACCAACATCAAGGAACCTTCCTTGAGGGGCCAATATATATACAGTAAAGTAAATTTTACTCGCCTGGGCACTAATGGGAAGCGGTGTTGGATTTCACTGCCAATGCAACTAGCAACGTGTCCATCATTCAATGCCGTTTTTCTTTCTTAGTCTCGCTATCAACAGTCCTTCTGAGAAAGTTTGACTATCAGCAGTCTTTGTTACAAACTCTGCTTCTACAACCACTAATGCACAATACCAATAACACTTGAATATCAGTAATAAGAGTCAGGAGAGCCTCGTGTAACTACCCGCCACTCACCTGCTCACTGGTTTATGTCACAGTTTCTGACTTCCACTTAACATTACCATTCAATAATTTCAACAATCTTAAATTGTAGATACGCCCCAATGAATCACACACAAAGTTACTTTACCATTACCAAACAGTTAACATTTTGTGGAAAATTAGTTTTTTTTTTTAATCTCGAGTTCAAATATATTGTGTTGCACATATTTAAAAATGTGCTGGATGAGATAGGTTGATGAGATTTATTTAGTTTATGGAGCAGCAATAAACCCCAATGGGGGTCATACTGTATGACCCCAGTGGACGATAGCTCCCATTCCTTGGATCAAGACCCCTTCAGTAGCATCAAAGCACCTCTTCTGAAGGAGTTAACATTATATTGCGGGGAGGCACTAAACCAGAAGGGGTCATACAGCTTCTGGGGAATAGGGAATGGGAGGTAATCAGATTCGATCCAAGGAAAATGAGGGTAGCTCCAAATCTCCGGATCAAGAGCATTTCACCATCGTCAAGGCATCTCCCATGAAGAATGGGACAAAGCGCGAATAAAAAAAAGAGGATAAACAAACCTGTTCCAATAATTTAATTTCAATTGATATACTACAAAAAAGTGATAATCGCGTATGGTTCATGCATTTATTTATTTCTGGGCGCTAAACCCGTAGCAATAAAGTGCGATCAAAGGGAAAAACAGGTCCAAACCCTTGAATCAAGAGCCCTTCTCATTGGCATCAAGACACCTACCTTGAGGGGTATGGACCTTACATCATTATTATTATCAATGGGGAAGCGCTAAACCCGTAAGATGGACCTTACAGTGCTCAGTTTTAGACAAGAAATTATTATTTGCGTGGAAGGTGGGGGTAATGGTACTATTATAATTTTCAGATAAGCAGTTTGTGACGCGGGTCACAGTGACTCACTCGCTGGATCTTTTCCTCATGTGACCTTGACTTTCAGATCCACCCTATAAATTATTATTCACGAATAACCATACGAGAATGGAACTAATGACGACGTTTCGGTCCCGTTAGTTCATGTTTCAGGTCGGACCGAAACGTCATCTTAAGTTTCATTCTTCTATGTGCGGGTTATTTGTGTATTGTTCCGGTCATGGCTTTGTGACTATATTTATTAGTGTTATGACATTCATAGAGGAGCACTAAGCCCGTAGGGATCACATAGCTCCTGGGAGAATGGGGGGCATTCAGATTCGGTCCAAGGAATGGGGAGCAGGTTCAATTCCTTCGATCAAGAGCCCTCACCTACATCAAGGGCCTTGAGCCCTTTACCGGCATAAAGGAATCTCCCTTCACCTCACTGTGCAGAAATTATTCAAAAATTAAACTCTGAACCAAAAATGGGTCATACAGCGCTTAAACGGTAGAGAAAAGGCATGTTTAAGAGAAGACAAGTGCTAAAGGAAATTAAAATTTTGTGCAATAAAATAGTTTCATCTAGCAAATCATAGATTATTATTTTCATCAAAACTAAGCGCTAAACCCGGGAAATCATAGAGAATCAGCACTTAAGGGTATCCAGAGTAAGGGCGTTCTGGTGTCGAAAAAAAGGGGACGAAACCAAGTTCTACGGTCCTTTTGATTATTATTTAAAAAAAACAAGCGTTATACGGGCTCTTTGATAAACAGGATAATCAATGAAAAGGTGTTGGATTGTCAACGACACCCGGAATCTCAGCAAGGTTAGGTAAGGTTTGTCAGGAAACAAGTGTTTCCTGACGCAGGTTTCAGTCATATGATGACCCGCCGTTGAAGCTTTTGGTCATCTGACCGAGGCCTTCCACTGGCTTACCAGTGGTCATAGATATAACCATTTAGCTCGGTGAGGGGTGTTAGGAGTCTCTCCACGAAATGTACTTGGGCGAAATATTTGCAGCTGATGGGAAGTAAATTATAAATATCCAAAATCTGGATAAAAAGGCTTCAAGGAAGAATATTTGGATTTCTTCCTGAAGCCGTTTGAATATTCCACTTCCCCTACCACCCCATCTTTTCATTCTTTTTTACCAATAGGTATATTTTATTACATATGGTACAAAAGGTTTAAGAGATACATTGTTGATATAAAGATGGCATATACAGTACATGAGATGTGAGAGATAAATGTCTAGTACATATTGTTACATGTTTGTCACTGATTATAATGCGAAAATCTCATCCAGCTCTTCAGAAACTGGGGGGCGTGCCTAAAATATAGCAAGCATTACCCCTCTGAACAGCAGCGCTGAGTCGCTGGAACAGAAAACTAGCTGCCCTGGGATCCCTAGTTACCCTGATGAATCTTTTGCCTAGCTCCTTAAGGAACTTAGATGCATTCTTTCTCCATGAGCCAAGGGTCTCTGAGCCTATGGGAACAAACATATAATGATGGGCAAGTTCTCCATATTTTCTAGACTTTGGGGACTCCCTGAAGCTGGCGGCTGCCCCTCCTTCCTCCCTGGTGTATTGGAGATAGGTATCAGCCAAGGTAGATGCACATGTGTAGGCCTACACCACCTGCTTACCGTCTGTCCTGGCTTGAAGTGTGATACCATCCGGACGCTTCTGGCTGCCATCAGATCTGCATAGTTGGGGTGGCTCCCTTACTGCTGGGCATCTGGCTGTTGTGAGGCTCCTCTTGACAATGTTATTAACCTCCTCATGTCTTGCAATCTTTCTCTCGGATTTACAGCACACAAGACCATGGTACCCGAATCGGTCTGCTGCTTCATTGCCACAAATACACCTGTGTTCGGCGACAATAGGGGCAGCAAGTCGAAGGGCAATACCAATGCGGATGGTCTGTGGGTCGAGCCATTTGCCAAGGCTGGAATTGGGAACAGCCAACAGAAAGTCCCCTGCATAAGCAGCTCTCACTGCCAGGAGGCAGGCTCTATCCTTCCCTGACACACTCTCAAGCACTGTTGAGGCTATTTTCTCCACTATCGGGCCATCCCAGTGCGACTGTTTGTAGTTGTTGGGGGGAGCAGGTCTGGTTTCAGAGCCCGTTAGATTATCCCAGATCATGGCTCCGTCAATGAACTTTTGATCAGTCTTTATCTAAAGAAATTTCATTTTACAGATGTGAACACTAATGTTAGAAGACAGGCTACAGGAGAGAGCACAGGTGTGGCCAGCTACTCACCAGGTACAGGAGAGCAGAGGGCAGGTGTGGCCAGCTACTCACCAGGTACAGGAGAGCAGAAGGCAGGTGTGGCCAGCTACTCACCAGGTACTAATGATTTACCTGCAGAAGGAAAGTTCACAATCAACTACGATCTGGGGAACCAGTTCCATTTTGAAAAAATACTCCCAGACGGCACTAAAGTTGGCAAGTAAGTTGAATTGATATTTTTATCGTAATAATCATGGGGAAGCACTTAATTAAAGGGGAATGGAAGGTCATCAGGTTTGACCAAAGGTAGGGGAAGAATAGTTACATTTTCTTAATTCAAAATCCTTCATCAGCATGAAGGCACTCTGTTGAACAGTGCTGTTATATTCACAGTAAAGGGCTAATTACCTTATTGATTAGCAAACCAGGGACCAGATCAGTTATATTATTATATTCACAATTATTAGCATATTTATGGATTATTATTATAACCAAGTGCTAAACCCATAGGAGTCATACAGCACTGCATGTAGTAGTATAAATCTTGTTAATGGATACTGACAGTGGTTTATAAAAAAAACATGAGCAAAAACTAGGGCATGTTTATTTTGAAAAATATGAAGTCCTCGGATTTGATTCACACTTTTATACAGCCAGTTAAATTGCAAAAAATGCTTATTATTGTTTATTACATATAATTATGTTTGTACTGTGCACTGATTAATGCTTTGCCCAGACACGGCTATGTGGACCCGCTGGGAATCCTGCGAGTATCCTACTACACGTCGGGTCCTGCAGGACACACACAGCGTCAGGAGAGTGGATGGATAGGCTCACGTGACCCATACACTTCATAGGACCATCACATTTCAATCCTTGAGGAATTTACAAGATTGTCTCAATGCCAGGAAGGTAGCCGAATGATCCTCCCATTCTGCACATCATATGGCTAATGATCCCCACATCAAGAAATCCTGTGACCCATATAGGAATGTTTTTAGTAAAAGAGCTAAGCTCACATGGGTTATCTTGGGTAAACTGGAGTGAAGGCTCGACCCTCCTCCCGGTAATCGCACCATGCAATCAAATGGGCATGACAAATATATTACTAATAAGATGATGTGTCGTGAGCATCACTCCTGAGGAAACTGAGTCAAGAACGTCAGTGACTGACCCAAAAACATTTAAAAGGGTTCACCTCTGCCATGTGTCTTTCGAATGTTTATTAAAGAAATTAATATTTTTGAAAATAGAAAAAAATAGACATTATTACAAACATTAGTGATGCCAAGACTTTAATTTAAATCAGCAAAATGTGCATTAGTTGTAAACCTGAAAATGGCCTATTATTATATTCAAGGGAAGTGCTAAACACATAGGGTTTAGTGCCTGGGGAATGGGAGGTAATTAGATTTAATTACCTAGCACCATCTACCTGCATAACCCCCTTCCCTTCAAGGATAAACATGATGAATTAAGTTTTTTAAATATCTGTCCGACTGCTAATCAAGGCTGCTGGTGTTAATACAGTCATTTTAACTCGGCTGTGTCTCTCTACATTAACCATGAAACTAAGATTGTTATTCAGTTCCTGGCAAAATAATCATGCAATGTGATCACTGATCCAGTGAGAGTACTATACATATAGTGTGACTAATGGGACCCAGGCTGCAAAAAGTGCCCATTGAGAGCTTGTTTGATTAACATTGTGCTCAGATTGTTTATAAATCATGGGGAAGTGCTAAACTATTGGGAAGAGGAAGTAAACAGGTTTGATCCAAGGGAAGGGTAGTGCCAATTCCTCTTCCCTTCACCTACATGTGTAACCCTTCCTAGAAGCATTTTTCTCTCCAAGCAATAAACTATGTGAAGAACTGAAGTATGACAAGTGTGTTATGGTGATCACATTACTGTTCGCAAAAATCACTAAAAGAATTATAGCTATATTAAACAGCAAGAAAAAAATTAGTGCTAAACCTCAAATAACTGATGTTAATTATATATATGTGATTGGTGTAGTTTCTGCTACTGCAGCCCAACTTCCATTGTGGCCACCTGATCAACGAGGCTGTTCCTACCTGCAGTTCGCAGACCTGCATAGCCAGTACAACCTGGCTAATGAGTCACCTGCAGGAAGCTTAGTGTCTTCTTCAGGACCTTCGTGTCGGCAATATTTATTATCTTTGAAAGCAGAAGGTTGAAAAGTCGTGAATCTCAAGGATTCATCTAATAACTTCGCAATTGCACTCTTTCTGCTGTCACAATGGAAAAGAAATTACATTATTTTGGCTTGAAACATTACTGAAATGTTGTAGTGATGTTAAAGTACTGTACTATAATTCCACTGTACTAGCACAGCTGAAATATTATAACTTAAGTGCTGGTTAAGTAATTATGTATTGTGATATATATAGTGATTTAAATTTAAGTGTTGATGTATTGTGGCTTATAATAGTGCTAGTCGTGTTGGAATATAAAGTATACTGTTGGTAAAGTTCTGAAGTATTGTGACAATGTTAGCAGGAGAATATCATTGTAACATACAGTAGCCTATTGTTATTGTTAATAGTGTTGTAAATGAACATGGATTGTGGTATTGATGTGTCACAACTAAGACATCATAAGTGTTGGAACCTAGTACATAACTTATTGTTGCTTAATTACAGCACAACACAATACTGACATATTTATACTGTAGTAGTGTACTAATGAGGTACTGTTGAGGTTTAGTATATTGAAAAATTCAATAGTATACTACTGTTAATACAATACGGGAATTGAAATATTTCAGGTGTTAAATACTGGAATCAGGTGATGAAAAATATGAAAAGGCCTTCATTGTATTAGAGACTATTAGATTTTTTTCAATAGATCTTTCACAGTAAACTATTAAAGGATTCTTGTAATCACAAAATGATAATATATAGCATATTCCTTGTGCTGGTTCAACCATGAAAAACAATGTCTGACCTTAATATTATAGTATATTTGTGGAAGTGCTAAACCCACATGGGTCATATTAATTGTAAAATGCGTGTAATAGATATCTTTAACATGAAGATTTCTTGTTAGCACGTGTGAGAGGCATTATTGAGTTCAGGTCCTTGTCTGAGTTAGTCTATAATTTTTTCTTAAAATGTCCAATATTAAATGGAGTATGCCATGAACATAGTTTTATTTGTGAAAATGGTAAGAAATGCAAACTAAGGAAATCCAGTGTAACCCAACCTAACATAATATAACTTTACTCCTTAGCGGTAGATATGGGAATTGTGAGTGTTTACAGTCAATGCATCTTTGTTTATCCTGATTGACCAGACGTGTTACATGGCAAATACTAACAATTGATTGACTCGATGGGCCAAAATAAATACATCTTAAATTAAATTTTAGATAAGAAATTACAATTGTAGGGGTACATATTATTATTATTATTATCAAACCAAGCACTAGACCTTTACCTAAGGGTCACAGCACTTAGGGGTACATTATTATTATTATTATAATCAAAAAGAAGCGATAAACCACAAGAGCTATACAGCACTGCACTTAGGGGTACAGATAACATTTATATTTTACAGCATAAAGTAGTAAGTCAGTTCAGACCAGGACCTAAACTCACCATTAGCCTAAGTGAGTTGTATTAGGATATTTATATTATTTTATTCGTAAGCAAGTGCTAAACCTATTAAGATTTAATCCAAATGATGGTAGCTCCAATTCTTGGAACAATAGCCCTTCACTAATAAGGAAGCCCCCCCCCCTGTCTACCTTGAAGGAACAACCTTTCTTTCTATTTAGAGCAAGCAAAAATTTGTAACTAATATCTAAACCATGAGAATATAGTCAGCATTTCTTTGTAAATATAGAATTAAAGACATTTTAAAATACGTATATCGATTTGCTTGTTTTAAACTACAATATATTTCACTTAGATTTTGCAAACAAAATTCACCACAGACTGTTTAAGTGGAAATTCAAGTAGTATATATAAACAACTATATAACAAGAACAGGTTTATTTTATACACGTCACTCATACCTTTTAGAAAGGCTCAGGCCTAACAAATTATCTAATTTTTTTTATTTTGTATTTTACTCGTGAAGCTAGAAACCATGGTTTAGACAGCAACACAGGGTTGATCCTAGGTTGACATTACAATATTCACACAAAAGTGCTGATATCCATGTCATTAATGGCTGTCCTTTGCTTAAGAGCTATAGGAATGTAGGCTCTTACCCATGACTTTTTTCCCCTGTAAATTTAAGCATTTTGTCTTCATTTATTTTAGTTTTCCTACAGCACAGTACTGTAATGCATTTAGTTTCTAGTATGTTGTGAATGGTTGTGCTTGACAGTTCAGCTTTGGGGAATGTCCCTCAATAGTAGTAATAATAATAATAATATAAAACAATAAATGCTAAACCCCAGAGCAATAATATAGCTGGTTACTGCATCAACTTCTGAGGATACCAAACACTGTCCAGTCCCAGGCTTAAGCCTGTCTGGCCCTGTTATTCATTAAATGAATAATCAGTGCTGATTGTATAACTAACATATAAATGAATTTCATATCTCAGCTATTCAAGTTGGTGTACCACATTTGTACTACAGAATAGTCAGGCCTTATTGTTAAAGCTTTAAAAATGACACTTCCTAACACATAAGTGGCCTAATGCATCACCCGGGCATTATTCTCGTACTTATATTTCAGTAACTAGTGTATTCATTCAGGTCACTGTGAAAACTCTCTAGATTATTGTCAAAGAATGTGAATTCTTTCCCTCAGATATGCAACATCTTACATAACTACAAGTAACCTGCCCTTTTAAGTTACGACATTAGTTTTTTACTAAAAATATTAGCGTCAATTTTTCTGTATACCGTACTGTTAGTCTAGATTAGGTTAGTCAGCCCATTCTCTTAGCAATATTTATAATTCTGACAGTTCATAAACTTTAATTTGCAATATAGAATTTTTAAGCCATTTCTTCTTAACAGCAAATTTCATATTTCATTTTGGTTAAGGTTAGGCGTAGTTAAGAGTGTCATCAAGCAATCAAAATAAACCATTTATAACATATCTGAAGGCTAATAAGTGAAACTGGTGCAGGAGAAAGAACTGGGACCAACCAAGGGGTCCACCATTTGCATATTTACATCTTGATTCCAGTTTTATTTTTGCCCTTGCAGGTATAGTATAATTGGTTAATTTTTTGCTAAAGAACACTTAAACCTAATTATAGATAACTTAAATAGAGGAATTTGCTTGAAGATTTGGAACATAAACTGTTTAAACACAACTGTTGCTGAAGATAATGGGTTACTTATGAATGATGTAACAGAAAACAGGGATTATTATATTTATGACCAGGTGGAGGGAAAGAACCCATAAGGGTCAATGGTCAGCCAGTTCCTGGGAAAAGGGGAAGCAATCAGGTTCAATTCATGGAAGGGCAGGGCAGGTCCAGTACACTGGATGAATAGCCCCTCAACAAACCCTCTTTAAGGGGAGAAAATGGGGAACCATGGAGAAGACGAGCAAAACCAATGTTCTGGCTTTATGTAGCTTTCTCTTAGGATGTGTTATAAGAGTGAATTAAACCCAATGATGACTCGGAGAGTTTGGTTGATGTGATAACACTAGCCTCATGACACACACATCAACCCAGTTTATTCTTAGTGTTTCCCCATACTCAACACCTGCAATCTGAAGCACTATTTATTGTTGAAGTGCTCCTAACCCTGTGATGGTAGTACAACATAACCTGCTTTATGTGCCATTTTTAACCAACCAGTGATCAACTGACATGTCAGTTATAGTGTAGTCAAGTACATAGTATGTTTTATGGTGGTATGGCATACAGGTGTAAGAAAGCAAGCCACATCATATACTTGTATATTTCTAACTTCACTGTGTTAAACACCTGGTCTAGCTATTCATCTTCCCACACTAAGTATAATATTAAGAATATATACGTACAACAAGGAACCAGATGTCGAGTTATATATATATTTATACTCCAGTGCTTTTTAGGCAGTCAAACAAGCCTAACTAAGGTAATCTACAAATTGATACTGAACAAGTATAGTATGTATTAAATAATTTTCCTGTATCAGTATATTTTCACGAATTAACATGTATACAGCTTTTTATTTCTTTTCCAAACTTAACTTTACAACCTACCCTAGCTTTGCTAAAATTAATTTTATTCCAACCAGACTTGCTTCAGACATCCTTTTATTTAGTTACCAGTCATCAGCATCAGTGAAATAAAAAAAAAAATTTTTTTTGAGAAGCTATTGCAACACAAGATTACACTTGGCTTATTTGTTGAAAGTTTGTTGCTATATAAGCCAAGTTCACTAGCTCTGCCTAAAAAGCACATATTTAACCATGCCATTAGTTACTGCACGTAACGTTGTTAGTGTAAAATTGTATGTGATATAAAGCGTACCCATGATTCTACTTCTTTAAATGTCACATCATACCTCTTTTAATAGTAATAATAATATATTCACAAAATGAATTATAACTCTTTAGTTATATATTGTACAACCTTATTTATTTTTAAGTGGCATTAACAGGTTATATATAGTGTACAGATCGACTCATGATACCATCTTGAAATTATGAGTAGTATTTACAGTGCCTAAATTCTTGTATACATACATATACAGGAATATACCACAGTGTCCTGTAACAGTATTGCAATTATCATAAAATGATTCACAGGGGAGTTCTAAGGTAATGGGAGGTAACCAGGTTTGATTAAAGGAAATGGAGGGTAGTTCCAGTTCCTCAGACCAAGAGCTTTTTTGCAGCATCAAGGCATCCCTCTTAAAGGGAAATGTGAAATAAATTGATAATTTGACAATTAAAGATGTTTATTTGCCAGAATAATTACCACATTCACCAAGGGGATACTGCAGTCTATATCCCATTTGGTAAGAGTTTTTACTCTCATTAGTGTGATAATTCAGCAAATAAATGATCTCAAAATTAGTGTGTATAATTTATGGAGTATTTTGTAAGGTGTTTGTGTGTATGAGAGGATAAGAATATTCTGAGTAACAAAACTACCAAGCAACAAACCTGATAATATGCTATGTGCCAATAGTTGTGTGATGTAGCACACACATATCTAACTACTGCATCAGCTACACAGTCGTGTACCTACTTATTTGTGGTTGCTGGGGTCGAGTCTTATGTCTTGGCCCTGCCTCTTAACTGCCATTACTGGGACATGAGATGCAATCACAAAAATGACCAACACTTAACCAGTTACTTGAAGCACATTACATGTATTTATAACAATCATGTGCAGTGCTGTAGTAATAAGTAATACTATACTGTAAAAGCTATATGGTATCTACATAACTACCTTGATCCACTCTAGGTTCAATACGTCATATGCAAAAGAAATAAAACCATAGGGGTATTAATACCTTAGAATGAAAGGGTAGCTCCATATCTTTGGACCAAGAGTCCTTCACAGCTGTCAACACTTATTAGAATCAGTGACATCACACACATTAGTTAAATATGCATCTCAATCACACTATTTATGTGATAGCAAAAGGAAATAATTTCTAAGGCAGAACTATATACTATATATATTTTTTTTTTAGCAAGTCGGCCATCTCCCACCGAGGCAGGGTGACCCAAAAAAGAAAGAAAATCCCCAAAAAGAAAATACTTTCATCATCATTCAACACTTTCACCTCACTCATACAAAATCACTGTTTTTGCAGAGGTGCTGAGATACAACAGTTTAGAAGCATATACGTATAGAGATATATAACATCTCTCTCCAAACTCTCAATATCCCAAACACCTCCTTTATAGTGCAGGCATTGTACCTCCCATTTCCAGTACTCAAGTCCAGCTATATAAAAATAACCAGTTTCCCTGAATCCCTTCAATAAATATTACCCTGCTCACACTCCAACAAATCGTCAGGTCCCAAAAACCATTCATCTCCATTCACTTCTATCTTACACACTCACGCACGCTGGCTGGAAGTCCAGCCCACAAAACCTCCTTTACCCCCTCCCTCCAACCTTTCTGAGGACGACCCCTACCCTGCCTTCCTTCCCTTACAGATTTATACGCTCTCCATGCCATTCTATTTTGATCCATTCTCTCTAAATGACCAAACCACCTCTACAATCCCTCTTCAGCCCTCTAACTAATGCTTTTATTAACTCCACACCTTCTCCTAATTTCCACACTCCGAATTTTCTGCATAATATTTACACCACACATTGCCCTTAGACAGGACATCTCCACTGCCTCCAACTGCCTCATCGCTGCAGCATTTACAACCCAAGCTTCACACCCATATAAGTGTTGGTACCACTATACTTTCATTGATTCCCTTCTTTGCCTCCATGGATAACATTTTTTGTCTCCACATATACCTCAACGCACAACTCACCTTTTTTCCTTCATCTATTCTATGGTTAACCTCATCCTTCATAAATCCATCCGCTGACACGTGAGCTCCAAAATCTCTGAAAACATTCACTTCTTCCATACTCCCTCCAATGTGATATCCAATTTTTCTTTATCTAAATCATTTGATACCCTCATCACCTTACTCTTATCTATGTTCACTTTCAACCTTCTACCTTTACACACCCTCCTAAACTCGTCCATAACCTTTGCAACTTTTCTTTAGAATCTCCCATAAGCACAGTATCATCAGCAAAAAGTAACTGTGTCAACTCCCATTTTGTATTTGATTCCCCATAATTTAATCCCACCCCTCTCCCGAACACCCTAGCATTTACTTCTTTTACAACCCCATCTATAAATATATTAAACAACCATGGTGACATTACACATCCTTGTCTTACCAGGAAGTAATCTCCCTCTCTCCTATACACCCTAACCTGAGCCTCACTATCCTCATAAAAATTCTTTACAGCATTTAGTAACTTACTACCTATTCCATATACTTGCACCATCTGCCACATTGCTTCCCTATCCACTCTATCATATGCCTTTTCTAAATCCATAAATACAATGAAAACTTCCCTACCTTTATCTAAATACTGTTCACATATATGCTTCAATGTAAACACTTGATCTACACATCCCCCACCCACTCTAAAGCCTCCTTGCTCATCTGCAATCTTAATTCTCTCCCTTACCTCTAATTCTTTCAATAATAATCGTACCATACACTTTTCCTGGTATACTCAGTAAACTTATCCCCCTATAATTTTTACAATCTCTTTTGTCCCCCTTCCCTTTATGTAAAGGAACTATACATGCTCTCTGCCAATCCCTAGGTACCTTCCCCTCTTTCATACATTTATTAAACATAAATACCAAATACTATATATAAATACATATATCTGTACATTGTATCTAAATTAAATTAAAAAATCTCAGTTTTTTACTTGCCCAGTGTCTGTTAACAATTATGTAGTGTACTTTGAAACTGAATGTTGGTCCTGGATGTTAGTGGTAGGCTAGGCTAATCCTTTGGCATCAGTACCGGTACGAGTTAGTGGAGGTTCATCTCGGATAACCAGAGTGGTGTGTTTCAGTCCCCTGTCACTTTTGTAATGTTGGTAATATTAGTCAGCAGTTTTCTGGCTCTTCAACTTGTAGTTGGGCTGAGGCTTTGATATTCTCTGGCAAGTAGAGGAAGTTTGAGGTTTTTGCCATAATGTTAGCACATATAACATGGGACGGAGTATTTTGGTAATGTTCATAATGTAGATCAGGGAATGTCAGGAGTACTGGGAAATTTGTAGTGCAAGTCTGGGTTCTGGTACAGAGTATTGTAGTGTAGGTCATTGGAGCTGGTAACTGTAGTTCAGGGGTTCTAAGCTTTACAATTAACAACTTTAGTGAATTTCTGCAAGATCCAGTTAACTGTTGTCCGATTAACTGACAGTTTGAGTAACGAGGAAAACAAGGTATATGACTAGTGACACACCTCTCATATGAACTTTCAACAACTATATTTCAGTGTCTCTTATCTAACAAAAAAACTGGTCATTTTCTGGTGTGGCCAAGCTTGAGGTGTTGAAGTGACACTTAGATAGTTATAAGTGTTGAAATAATAACTCGTGCGGTATGCTCACATTAACTCCAGCAGGAGGAATGTGTGAGCCAGTATGTGAGTTTTTACTAACTCTGTGATAACTGCTCCTTACTCAATTATACTTGTACAAAATGTTAATAATAAATGGGATCCATCCTCAATTATTGTATTAATCCCCCCCCCTTTTTTTTTTTGGTTTAATATTATTAGGTATCCCCCAAGAGGGTAACTTGAATACAATAGTCAATTTTTTCATTCAAGATTTCTGTGCAATAACTTCAGATAACTTCTAATTAACTTGAAGCTTTCCTTGTGTATCATACTCGGTGGAATGTTTGGATTGATATTGGACTGTGTAGCTGCCACTTTTATTTAAAATTTGGTGAAACCACACTTAAACATGATAAACCAACCAATCCTCTATTGTTCATTCAGAGGCATCAGTAAATAATCTTCCTAAGGCAGTGAGTCAGAAATGAACACCTCCCTCATTGATGGGAATTTGGGTATATGCTTGGAAAGAGTGCACTAATTATTAGCATTACACAAAAAAACAAGCACCAAACCTAATGGGTCATACAATACATGAAAAATTGCAATGTCATTCTGTACACAGTACTGGCCCCTGATATTGTTCAGCATTATCCCACAATTATATGAAGCTCAAGGGGTGATATCCCTTCAAGAGGGGTGCCTGAAGGCTAGTGAAGGGCTCTCAGTCCAAGAAATTGGAGCTACCCTCCTCTGCCCTGGATCAAATCTTAGTACCTTTCATTCCTTACTCTGCAACCCTTTTGGGTTCAGCCCATCCTCATGGTTAGCTATCACCTTTGCAGATACTGTATATCAGTTTCTTAACATTTTGGAGTATCAAAATTAAAGATTGGAGAACCTTAAGAACCCTTTAATTAAAAAAATAATCCATTCATTATATGGCAAAAAGTTCCTGAAAATACTAAATTAACATGACATTTTCTTAAAACCCCAAGCCTACAAAACAAAAGATGCAGTTACAAATATTTAAACTAATATTACTGAAAACATTATATAAATGGAACATTAAAAATTTCAAACACTACTCTATTTACAATATACAGTACTTTATTGGTTGTGTATAATATTGCGATTGCCTTACATAAGAAGGCTATTCATATTAGTACCCTGGAGGGTTAATAACTTATGATAACCCAAGAAAGCCAAGCAGTGTAACTTATTTCCATTGGGGTCCTTCCCTAGGATGCGACCCACATCAGCTATCAATTTCTATGTCATCTGTTTACTGCTACTGGAAGGTAACAAGCAGTAGGTGTCAGGAGACTTGCCCATAAATTAAACCTTGCCTATGAGATGTGACTCCTGATGCTTTCAGTTGCGAGCCGAATGCGCTACCACTGCACTATGA